GTTAGTATGGGCATGGCGCACGAAACTGCCAACGGAGCAAGCCAAGTGGTGTAGATGGCTGCACGAGTCTTCACCACCCTCTGTTGCATCCGCAGAAGTATGAGCAACAAGAAGAACCCAGAGTCTCTGCTGATAGAGAGCAGACTAACTCGATCACGACGGCATCACACGTGACCTGCAGCATGCAGAAGTCATCTGCGAGCGTCATCCTCAAAACAGTACTGGTACGCCTGAAAAAATGGCGACAAAGAAGTGATGACGTACGCACTGTTCGATGAGGGATCTACAGTGACACTGGTAGACATCCAACTAGCCAAGATGCTGCAAGCATCTGGCCCAGTGAAGCCGCTGTCTCTCACATGGACGGATAAGCAGCATCAACGCCACCCTCAGTCCATGTCCTTGAACCTGCAGATGGCTGGATTGCAGGGAGACGAGACCTTCCAGCTGAGGAATGCCAGGAGTCAGGACAGCTGACAACCCCGATTTGTCGTGTCAGCCGGTGACGTCTGCCAAAGTGCTGAAGCAGGCCCGTAGCAGCCCCATTTTGGTTGGTCCGGCAAGATCCGACCTCGATGCCTCCCCCCCCCCCCCCCGAGCCCACACTCCTACATATGCCGGTACATGTACATTGTACAGGTACAAAATGTACATGATTGTACGTGTACCGGTATGTGCATGACTGTATGTAATTGTGACCATGCAGAGTGACATAGGACGAGAAAAGGAAGAAGGATGTTCTGCATGAGTTAGGAAAAAAGGGCATCAGCATGTTGTGTCCGTCCAAACTGAACTTGTTGAAGCCTATGAAGGCATAGCAGCAGTATCTAAACGCATGTGATAAAAGAACCAAAAATGGACCTTTGGTCCCTTGGAGGAGGAGAAAGGACATTTCAATGAAGGAATGGCAGGAGGTCATTTTTTTATTTTTTTACTTGAAAAAGCACATAACCACTAGGAAAGCTGGCAAAGAAAAAAGAGTAAGAAAAGACAGATAAAAAGAGAGCTGAGAGAGAGAGAGAGTTGGGGTACGGTTAGGGGAGGACGAGACATTGAATGGTGGTCGCCACAGTCACAGATAGTAGCAGTGCTGGTGAGGCTACAGGCACTCCACTGACCATTAGGTCTCAGTATCGCCATGCCGGTAACGCACCAAGAGACAAAAACGGAAGAAAATCTGAAGAGCAATACATGAATGGTAATTACAATATAGGTACTAGGGAGAGTGGAGAACAACACCCACATAGATCTATGTACATGGTATTCGCAACAACATGTACATGACATGTACTTGAGTACAACTAGAGTTCAAACTTCAAAGTAATCACTCGATGTTGTTGTTTTTTATTTTTGTTTTTTTAAACTTTTGAACACGCACTGCATGATGAACTAAAATGAGGAGAAGAACTCGACACAATGGTACATATCCAGCAGGACGGAGTGGGTGGGACCTGTGAAGCTCAGCCGACTAAGGGTCTCGGCATCACAGCTGCACATGTGCACCAAAGGAAACAAAATGGGGAGTGGAAGGGCGGGGAGGGGAGCAGGAGAGCAAGAACTCTAAGGGTAGGAAAGAGAGGAGGGGGGGGGGGGTAGGAAACCAGGAAACTTGTTATTCCAAGATATGAGTGCAAACAAGTACGCAAACAAGTACAAATATAGCAGTATCAAGATCATGATGCTGAGGCGAAAGTAGAGGCTGATTGCCGTGCAGATTTGACGAAAGATTAGAGGAGAGTTAGAGAGAGATAAAGACAGATGGATTGGGAGTTTGATGAGAAGGGAGTGCTCCGAGAACATGAACAGGGTCGTACTGGCAGTAGCCTAGGGGGCGATGTCCGTGGCCAATGACCAACCCGACCGTTTCAGGTGTAGTGTCCTCTTGCTATTACCATGTAGAATCTACTACAGTCAACTTGGCTAATAACGACTGCGGATATAACGACAATTCGCGAATAACGACAGAATTTCCATGCCCAGAGCAAAGTCCCATCCAACTGTAATACATATAATGAGACTTCGGGTATAACGACACTTTTCTGATGCCCCGCCGAGTGTTGTTATAAGCGAAGTTGACTGTACCTCTACTTACTTGCTTATATACCTCACTACCTAATTTTATTGCATACATCATGGGTGGACATCCTGAGCTGCTTACATTGTGAGCTGCTTTTTTTTTTTTTTTTTTTTTTTTTTTGGCCGAATATTGGACCGGCAGCTGCCGGACCTGCCGGACCGCCTGCTACGGCCCTGTGAAGTGGTGGCCGCATTTGAAAGACGTGCCGGTCCATACGCTTGCTAACACCAAGCCCCAGGTCCTGATCGGCCAGGACAACGTCAGCCTGACTGTCGGGCGAGTGGTCAGCGAAGGCGGTGTACGCTTCTCGTTGGCTGAGTATTCGAAAGAAACGAGAAGCAATGTTCTCTCGAACTTCGAATATTTGCGAAGCTTGTTTTTTGCTTACCGGTATTATTTTTTGTTGTGGCACGCAGTGCAGGT